AACACTATCAGAATCACTGATTTAGTTTAATATATTTTTCCATGAATGTGTATTACATTATTTCCAATAGTCTATTCTCTTCATTTCACAGCTTTTCTCTTGGTTGCAGTGCTTCCAGTAGTGTATGTTTATGTTAGAGCTTTTATCCAATCATATTTCAGCAATCATGTGTTGCTAGGGTCAAAGAAATCTGCCTTGAAGCCTCTTTGTATTATTTGTGTGATTGCTGATTCATTGATATTCATCAGTCATTATTTTTTTCAGCTGTTACTAACATCAGCAGCACTCATACAACAGTCACACCAGAGACGAGCCCAGCTGGTAATGTAGTCTGATGTTTCCTCTGTTGATTTGTGTTTTGATTGAATGTTTGTGGATCATTGCAGACATTTTCATTTTCGAGGGCGATGCATGAGTATGATGGTATGATTGTTCACAGATTCTGACTGCAAGGAGATTGAGTGATAGTAGTCACCTTTAGATTCTTTCTTTCTTTCTTTCTTTCAAATAGTGACATTAAAACACATTTTAGGCTAAATATTGAGAAATGTGCATTGTGCACAAGTAGTACTCCAAAAAAAGTTTAATTATAATGTGTATATCAGTAAGTATTAAGTGATATGTCAGTAAATAGACAATAAATAAAGTAAATAAAATGTTAATAGATTTGAACTAGTATGAAATAAAGGCATTTTAAAATATATTACTTTTTTAGGGTTTGTAATTTGAAAAAAAATATGTTAGCAAATACCATTAACTGAATGATACTGATGTAATGAATGAACTAAATGAACTAATTATTATTAAGAAGTCAGAAGTCAGAAAGAGCTTAATTACCAAGTATGTTTACACACACAAGGAATTTGACTTGACCACAGGAGCTTCCCGTGCAGAAGAAAGTGCAAACATAGAGCAGACATCCATGATAGTGCAGACATACATAGGAATTACACCGTAGAGTTGGAAATATAACACTAATATAAGAAAAACAGACAATTAAATAACGCATATACAGAAGTAGAAAGATAGTTTAGAAATATTGTTTAAATGAATGTACAGATAGGTTATTTACAAGTGTGCAGTTTACAAATGTACAATTTTCGGATTCTATGTACAAATGTGTCGGTTATGATGGACAACATATTGTTATGAATGTTTTAATTGTTCAGGCTGAATATACTGTAGCCTGTGGGAAAAAAAAATGTTCTGGTGGTCAGTGCTCTGTAGCATTCTGTCCATTTCACCCAAAATGTCGCTTACGCCCCTCTGGTTCTCACCCCTCAATATGTTTCGTATGCATTTTTTTTGTCATGTGCAACAACTAGAGTTCTTTTTTTTTTACCTTACATGCACTCAGTAGTGAACCGTGGCTCTTGAGCCTAGGCCCTCTCCCTGTATCCTCGTCAGGGGAAAAAACTACCAGCCTAGCTTACGGTGTCCTCTTGTAAAAGTAATCTTTGACAGTTCCACCTCTGAAACAAGAGGCTATCACACCGGGTGACATGTGCAGCCCTGCACCGCACCGCACCACGTCTTTAAAATTGTTAAACACACATTGTTTTCCATGACTGTATGCACACCAGCGGTGCCACCGGCGACTGTCCTCGGATCCCGACTCTGGGCGCTGTTCATAATCCTGCCGCGTCACGGAGCGCCTCAGCGCCACTCACATCATTTTCCATTAAATTACATTATATTTGTCCCAAATTATTGTTAATGTACATAATGACTTCATCCTAGGTTGGATGTTGTATTGTGCATTTTTCAGCAAAACGTTTGTCTAATAAATTCCGTGATTCATTGTGCTACAGATCGCAATTTCTCATCCCGTTTGCTGTTTTTTCGATCCCCGAACTTTAAACTCATTGACACCACTTGCTCATTCTTGAAGTTAAGTTTTGACTGTTTGGGGAATAGATGAATTGTTTTGGACTGCCGTCTTGAACGGAACGCGACGCGTTCGGTGTGTGTTGCACCGGGGCACCACTGTGCTTCTCGTCTGATGTGCGACCGCAACAAAACAGTACAGCGAGAGTGACTGATATTACCAAAATAGAACAGCTAAATTTAAGTCAAATGCAAATCCTCATTACAAATGCATCATCACACAATATCTGCACTTCAGCGGGCAAAACGTACAGACACTCCCTCCCATCACACAAAACCAACAAATGTAATGTGTTTAAGCCAACACTTCATGACAGCGCTAACACAAAACAAATTAGCGACAGACACATCATGACAAACAAGCAGTGTTTATAATAAATAATATTATTATTGGCTCAGCGACCTAGTAAATGTGCTCACTTACGTTATTTCCATCGTGACGTGAATAATAGTTAGTTAGTTTATCAGCGTATATAAATAATAATAATAAATATATATATATTATTTTTCAAATTAATAACACATTGCAATTAAAAATGTTCAGGATGCGGGTTTGATCGCCGTCTTCTCAGTTCTGTGTGTCCCTCATGTCTTTGTTTTTCCCTTCAACCAGCCGCTTATTGGTTTCTCGCCTGTTTTTCGATTTGCGCTTGTCACTCGAGCCTGACTCTAGTCTTGCTGTGTCCAGTGCTCCCGTTCTCTGTTGGTTTTGATTGCTTGTCTCAACCCTGCTCTGCCTGTTCCCTCTGACTGATTGCGCCGCTGACGGTCTACCCGTAATAACAATAGTCAAAGTTTTTTTTTAGGAGAGAGAGAAAAAAAAAAATCGGGAAAGGACAAAACATTTTTAGAAAAAAGTCAGAGATACAAAAAACAAACAAACAAAAAAAAAACATTCTTACTGCTTCTGTACTCATGGTCACATTCATCATTTATTTCTGATCTATGCTTTTATTGCACAAATTACATCTATATAATTTGCTGTTTTGTTTTATTATTGTGTTTATGCTGTTTTCTGTCATTGCAGGTATAAATATAACACTGCCAGAAGAATGCACCGTAAGTTGAGTTTCTGAAATTGAAATTTTAGAGTTGGACTTTTAGAGTTTGAGAGTTGCTTTTCTATTTATTTTTGATGGTTACATGCACAAACTTACCTTTGTTTGCTATTAATATCGCAAAACATGATTAAAATCACAGAGTTAGTTTTATTTACTGTATAAAACTCAGTTGTGATTTCAGAGTCAGACCCCTGGAGGATGTCTTCAAAATCTTCTTGAGCAGCTCGAGAACATCACAGCTCAAGTGCTTCCTTTAAATGTAAGTCTTCAGGAGAAAAATGATAAAATAATCAAATCTAATTTAGATAATATATGACAGACATAGCAGTGCTGTCTGACTTTCTTGACATTTACATGGACAGTAACTGTATTGAACTGCATTTTTCTGATCAATAAATTAGACTGTGACAAACATTCTGAATACGGTCTTCAACGCTTCAGAGAAGATTGTAGAGTCATCATCATCAGCAAGCCCAGCTGAACTAGCCTCCTATGGAAACCGTGTGTTAAAAGCCAGTGAGAAACTCAGTTCTGCATTAGTGAAGCCGACAGACACAAATGACAGTGTCAGTTTTACTCTTGCTGCTGTAGGTAAGTGGAAACACAATTATTATTGATAATGAAACTCAGATTGCATATGATAACAGTGACTTGATTTAGTTATAATCTTAAAACTATCGAGTTATAAACTTTTATAAGAGAGCAGAAAACACTGCCTGTATTTTTTGTTACTGATGTCAAATGTCAGAATGTTTATGCAAATTCATCTTTCATTTGGTAGAAGCTTATCGAATTAGATGCCAACATGGACAGGTTGTGTCCTGAAAAACCATGAAAAAAGAAAATACAAAATTAATCACGGGTTCACTTACAGTGAGAAGTTCATGGTGTGTTGAGACCACAGTGTG